CCCCCCCTCCCTTCCTTCCTTCTTTTCTTTCTTTCTTTCTTTCTTTCTTTCTTTCTTTCTTTCTTTCTAAGTAGGCTTCATACCCAGTGCAGAGCCCAGCATGGGGCTTGAACTCACAACCCTGAGATCAGGACCTGAGCTGAGATCAAGAGTCCGACACTTAACCGACCAAGCCACAGGAGGTCTGTTTTCTCCTCACAGCCTCATGAGCCTAGGCCTCACCTCCTGGAGGTTCCCTGCTGCCACTGTGCAGCCTTCCTGGGCAAAGACAGGGTCATGGAGGGCCAGGGGACCGAGTCTGTCAGTGACCTACCCCAGCCCCTAGCCTGACGTTGAGGCAGGTGGGTGCTCGGTAAACGCTGAGGACACTGGGGTGTCACGCTGGGTCAGGCCGGATGCCTACGGAGTCTGCGCAGAAGAGGGCTGGGACTGACCCCTCCCCCCTCCATGCTGTCGTCCTTGTCATGCTAGCTTTGGGTCCTTCATTGGAGCCTCGAGTGACCAGAGAATCCAGCTAAGCCATGGCAGGTGCCCTGACCCACAGCAGCTGCCATAATAAATGTGTGCGAAGCGGCTAAGTTTGTGATAATACCGTTATGCAGCCTCAGTCGGTGGAGCCACCGACTTCGGCTCAGGTCATGATCTCACCGTTCGTGAGTTCGAGCCCCGGGTCATGCTCAGAGCCTGGAGCCTGCTTCGGATTCTGTGTGCGTCTCTCTCTCTCAGCCCCTCTCCTGCCTGCGCTCCCTGTCTCTCTCTCTCAAAAATAACATTAAATAAAAAAAGAAGAGAAAATTAATACAGGCAGGAGAGCAAACCCAGGAGGCGAGGGAGGAGGCAAGAGGTCTGGACTGGGGCAGGGAGAGATGTGGAGGTGGCTAAGGGCGTGCGAGTCTGGTGTACTTGGAAGGCCTTGCTGACAAGTGGCTTATGAGGTTAGCACCGGGCTACGGGCGACGTCTCTCTGTGGCGGGCAATGCGCCAGGCATTTCCCGAAAGCGACTTCGCTCAATCCTCACCCTTGCCCTTGGTGGTGAGCTGTCTCTGTTTCACACGCGAGGAAAGTTCAGCCAAAGAACTTGACCAAAGTCACGCTCTTTTTTTTTCTCTTTTTAATATGTATTATTTATTTTTGAGAGAGAGACAGAGAGAGACAGAGCATGGGCGGGGGAGGGGCCGAGAGAGAAAGAGAGGGAGACACAGAATCCGAGGCAGGCTCCAGGCTCGGAGCGGTCAGCACAGAGCCCGACGTGGGGCTTGAACTCACGGAGATCATGACCTGAGCTGAAGTCGGACGCTCAACCAACGGAGCCACCCAGGCGCCCCACATTCACGCCTTTAGTATTCAAGTCCCTTCTAAACTGTCAAACTCCTATACATCCCTCAGAGGCCAGCTCAGATGGCCCCTCCGAGAACCCTGACTCCTTTCTCCAGAAAACACTGATCGCTCTACTTAATCCGCTGTGGCTCCAAGAACTTTCTTTCCACCTGATGGCATCCGAGCCCTCCGTGTGTCACATGTGCGGGGCTCGGGAAACATTTTGAGTGGAGACAGAGCAATGCTTGAAGGCCCCTCCTTCCCCTTCAGTACCGGCTTCCCCCCGGCCTCTGTTCCCCGGTGGGGGTGCAGGGGGGTGGGGGGTGCAGGCCCTCTGAGGTAACAGAGCCCTATGTATAGCGGTCACCATGGCGACTCCAGTGAACAGTGGGGGAGGGGGGCACCCTGGCACCCAGCCAATGGTCTTCAGGAGCGGGTCTGCCGTGTGAATCTGCGCTCCTGGACTTCAGCTGACATGAGAGAGAGCGGAGAGGTGAGGCAGGTGCCCGTGAGGTGGGCTGGGGGTCTCCCGGGACCCAGGATTTCGCCGTCCCTCTCTCTATTCAGGGCCGCTCGTGAGGGAAGAGTTCCCCGGGCCCAACCAGACCTCCTTCCCCGTCCTCCTTGACTGACATCTCTTGGGACCTTTCTTTCCAGATCAGAAACTGGCAGGGAGTCCACACTTCTGTTCCAGCCGGTCCAGGCTGCTATGGACTGGGAGTGTCACTGGGGCAGATAGGACACTGCTGTGGGCACATGGGCAGGGGGGGACTGGGATGGGGGGGTGGGGACGGGAGCAGACGGCTCACTCGAAATAGGCAGAAGAGGTCAGGCTTGGGTTCGGTACCACTTGGCTGAGGTCCTATTTCTTTTCTGAGCCCCAGTGTCTCCATCTGTGAAAGAGGGTGAGTTAATACTTTCTCTGAACACCTGCTTCCTTATGAAGACGATTAATCTACTAAATGTAAGAGTGCGTAACAGATGAGCTGTATTAGTTATCCCTTGCTGTGTAACAAATCACCCCAAAACTTAGTGGCTTAAGAACATTTTTTTTACAAAACTTTTTTTTTTTTTAACATTTATTTATTGTTGAGAGACAGAGAGGGACAGAGCACGAGCAGGGGAGGGGCAGAGAGAGAGGGAGACACAGAATCCGAAGCAGGCTCCAGGCTCTGAGCCGTCAGCACAGAGCCCGACGCGGGGCTCGAACTCACGAGCCGTGAGATCATGACCTGAGCCCCTGTCAGACGCTTAACGGACTGAACCACCCAGGCACCCCAAGAACATTTTTGTTTTTAATCTCACAACTCCTTTGGGTCAGAAATGCAGATGCACTCCCATGGCGGCCATCTCTCAAGGTCATTCACGGTATATAATCAAAGTTCAACTAGAGGAGGACCCCTTTCCAGAGCTACTCATATGGTAGGGCTCAGTTGCTCATGGATTCTTGAACAGGCCTCCTTCAGATCCTTGCCAGGGGGGCCTCTCCTGAGGTTAGCTCACAACATGGCTGCTGCTTCTGTCAGAGTGAGCGAGCCAAGAGCCTGACGGAGTGTGGACAAGACGGAGTCCCAATCTTCTACGTTCACTCTCCGAGTGGCATCCCATCCACTATTCTATTGGTTAGAAGCGGGTCAACAGGCCCAGCCCACGTGCTAGGGGAGGAATTATACAAGAGTGTGAATACCCAGGGACAGGGTCCCCCAGAGCCATGTGGACTGCCTACCTCAGTGGCCCCTCCAGGCCCCAATAATATACATACCTTCTTTTAAAAAAATTTTCTTTTTAATGTTTATTTATTTATTTATTTTTTTTAGTGATTTTTTTTTTCATTGTTTATTTATTTTTGGGACAGAGAGAGACAGAGCATGAACGGGGGAGG